TTGAAATTTCTAAAATTTATTTTCTCTCTCAAATAATATCAAAATTATTCTTGTGAAAACATTCTACCTATTTAATGCACACACCCCACACCCCCATACCCTAAAAAAATGTTTCTTCCAAAAAACCCTAACAAAATCCACCAAGAATAACAAGAGCCAATGTGATTACTGTCTTTGTTGCCTCATTTCACCATTGTCACGGTTGGTATGTGCTCTCTCTCTCTCTATATATATACATAATTTCTTAGTTTTATCGTAATAATTTATTCTCTTGTAGGAAAAAAAAATTATGATAATTGGTTTTGTTAGTAGATATTATAAAAGTGTGAGTTTAGCAAAGAACTACGCAGCAATATTATCAAAGCAACCTGATGAAAAAATAACTTTCAAACTTGATAATGGATTTGGACTACTTCCGATAACTTCTGTAAATATTAAAAATTTTGACCATTTTATGTGTTTATGAATTTTTCATGCTCGGGCCTATATTCCCAAACTTAAAAAAATGAAAATTTCAACAAATGTTAACAATTTTGACCGTTCATTGTGTTAAGAAATTACATGTTCGGACCTACACAAGTAATGTTCGGACCTATATTTCGCCAAAGGGCTGCCACTGTTACTGCCGAAATATTGTCATTGCTGGAGAAGTGTAGGTAGTCAAATGATTACCATTGTTACCGCCAGAATATTACCGCTAAAGGATTTTCAAAATTTTGAGGGTGGGTAGGTTTTGAAGGTGGGATTTGGAAAAGATGGTTAGATAGTGATGAAGGTGAGTGCTCTCACAAACCCTAATTCATAATATAGTAGGTAGGGATGGGCAACGGTTTATCCGAACCGCTCAAACCGCCCAATATGGATTTAATTCATGTTATTTTAAGTTGTGAATTGGAATGGATTCAAGTTACACAGTGATGAACAAATTTTGTTCGGACATACAGTACTGACAGGATCATTATTGTTCGACAAAACAGTTTTGAACAAAATACATTTTTTCGGCTACAGAGTGGTGAACAAATTGTTTTGGGCTACATTCAGAATTCTGATGGCAATTCAGACAATGATTCTGACGGCGATTCTGACGATGATTCTGTTTTTCCTCATCTTGTAAACGGTTATACAAATCCCGTTGAAATTGGATTATCTTCGATCAATCTCAGCGATAACGAAGATACAAAAAGAAACGAAGAAGATGATGATGAGAGAATGAGAGAGGTTACTGATTCGGCGATATGGAGAGTGTTCAGAGAAGATGAGAGTCGTCGGAATGCTCCGTTAACGGCCGAGACGGCGACGAGAGTAATGGAGGGTTAGGGTCCAAGAATTCTATACTGGACCAAAGCTCCAAACTCTGAAGATTGGGTGAGTCAGGGAAGGAGGGGGATGAAAAATTAGGTGGGTGTGCATTTCATTGTGAAAATATTATGAAAATGGGTAGATTTGGTAATAAGTGGGGTGTCCAAAAAAATATTATTAAAATTTAGGGTTTAGGGTTGAGGTCGGGGTCCAAAGAAATTGGGAGTCAAAAAAATTTTGGTAGGTGCTAATAGGAGCACTCTTTTTTTTTAGTGATATGTATTATTGTTGTTTTTATAATGAGTTTTTTTGCCCAATCTCGATTTGAGCCTCACTTTTAACTTGAATTGGTTAGCTCGGACTCAAATTTGAGTCCAAGTTTAAACCCAAGCCCAATTTTAAATTTAGGATAAATTATAATACACTCATTGAAATTTGTTTAAAATATAAATAGCCTTCTATGATTTTAAAAATTACATCCCGTCTATTTGAATATTTAGGTAATTTTATTATTATATAGGAGAGTAGTTAAGAATTTTATTTTTTTCCCAGTTAATTATGTTAAATAAAAAATTATGATAAGGGGATATTTGTAATTTTTCAAATTAAAAGGAACAATTCATATTTTTAATAAATTTCAGGGGCTATATTTATAATTTATCCTTAAATTTAGGATCCGTTTGGGAGGAGCTTTTCTAAGCTTTTTTGGCTATTTTAGCCACAAAAGACAAAATAGGCTATTTTAGCCACAAAAAATAAAGGATCACATCCAACCCATAATCATTACACTCTTCTCTCACAAAAAAAGTCAAAAAAGTCAAAAAGTCAAAAAGTCCTTTCTAAACCAAACTTTTTAGCTCATGCTAAAATAGTCAAAAAAATCAAAAAGTCAATCCACTTTTCAAACGGAAGCTAAATAATTTTGGAACTTAGGGGCTAGTATTATGGATTGCACTTATTACCCAACAACTCCTTCTTTTTTTTTTTTTTTTTTTTTTTTCTTTTTTTTTTTAAGGTAGGAACAACTCCTACTCTAAATTAATACATCCACACTTTAGTATAATAATGATGTGACAACGATATGTAAAAAGGATTTTTTTGTAAAGAATATGTTACATGACTAAACTGACGTTGGCGCAGTCTTCCATTTATTATCTTTTACGTGTTAATTGTAGAATTCAAGAAGCGACTCTGTACTCGGAGTCAAGGTTGTGTTCAATTATATTAAATTTTAATTCTAATTTTTATTGTAAGATAAATAATTAATAAAAAGATACAGTGAAATCAACCACATGAGATAGGCTTTACATAATTAATTAAAATTTTAATATGTATATATATATTTCATATGCTATCAATTTGGTGCCATTTCAAGGGACCCATGTGGGTTGTAATGCGCCGGTACTGGTTAGATATGGCTTGTTCATAAATGCATTTATAGGTGTGGGTATTGTGCTGTGTGTTGTATCACTTGTTTTGGTCACATTGCAGCTGAAGCTAATAAGGTGTGTTTGCCTTGTTTTGGGAAATTATTTTGAGATTTTGGAACAATGTTTTATTCTATTTATCAATTGATATTTTATATTGGTTTTTTAAATTTTAACTCAAAAATGACAAATCTTGTAGTTTAAATCAATAATTATTAATTTAAAACACCAACTAAACTTACTTCAAGAACATTAAATAATTTATCATTTGTTTCGTATCATTCTTTTGTCACTTTTGACTTTTTCCTCAATTTATCTTGACAGTGAACAATTAACATCGGCTTATTGTCCTAAAAAAATAATCGAAGTTGTTGTCTCGTGTTGTGTTGTGTTACCATCATTTGAAATGTTGTACCAGAGATTTAGGGGTGGTTTGGGATGGTTTAAATAAGTGTATTCTTTGACTTTTTATGAAATATGGATTGTGTGTGATGTGCTAGAGATGTGATGTGACTTAAACAAGATAATGTGACTTAAATAAGATAGTGACTTTTTGACTTTTTAATTTTTTTTAGATTATAACAAATAAGGCCCTAGAAGTCGAAATTCTAGTAATATTTGGTATTGATATATTTATCTATTTCACTTTACAAGTAAGGCTTGATTGGCCCTGTTTGGTAAAGTTGTGAGAAAGTACTTATAGCTTATGTCTTAACAGCTTATAGCTTATAACTATGAACATAAGCTGATTTCTGACTTATAAATTAAGCTTCTCTTGCTCAACTCAAAGAATAAGCTGATTTCTGATTTACAAAAAGTTATAAGCTGCATTGTTAAGTTAAACCAAACACATCAAAATAATTTAAATTAAGCTGAAAAAAAACTGTACCAAACAGGGCCATTATCTCCATTCAGAAAGAGAGGTCTAGGTTGGCTTGTGAGCTCAACATGAAACTTACTTTGGTGATTTGAGATGAGAAGAAATTTAAAACATAAAAGATAAAAACGATTGAAAATAGAACATGTAATCTCCTTACAAGGCAAATCATACTACTTGTCTGTTGATATAAATTTTCTACACAATTTAGATTTTTACTATGTTAATAACACAGTAGATTTTCTTATGATGTGAGACAAAATATGTAAAATACATATGAAAGATTTGCCTATTATTTTATATTTATATCTCATTTTATAAAATTTTTCTATACACTAGTCTTTTAACTTTGAATTAACAAAAGATAAAAAAGAGTTGGATAGGGAATATCGTGACCTTGGTTTTTACCCTGGCTTTATTTGTCTTTTTATCCAGTTCCATTGATACATCTGGCACATTCAAAAGGGCAACTTGAAAACAAACTCGAAATGATTTCATTCCCCCCATGTGACTCTGTCCCTCTCTCTCTGAGATATTGTCATTGTCACACTGTGCTGTTCACCCTATAAAAAGTCTCACACTGAGAGAGTTACTAAACCCAGAAAATCACGGAGCCAATAGGGGGTGGTACATTACTTGTATTTACTATTCGAAGGAGTAATTCAAAATCACAACGGCATTGTTCGTACACTCTCTCAAGGTCTCTTTCCTATGCCTTTAATTTAACGGCTAGTCTTTTGGCTCCTTTGTAGGAAATTCTCGATTAAACTCACTAGTATGTACCCGCTTGTTTATAATATTCAAACTCAATTCATTTGCCACTGGTTAAAAGTCATTTAAGATTCATAAGTTATATTAATAAACCAGCTTAAACACATTACGTATTTTTGTTTGAACGACTTATTATGTTTTACAAAAACAAACTAAACTAATTAAGTTTAACTTGTGATTAGCTCAAAACAAATCAAATTAAACACATTTTTTGAAATTCCATATCATATTTACGCTGTGTTTAGTTGAGAAATTTAAAAAATAAAAGAAGAAAGTGAAATGTAAATAAAATATACTCACATTTTATTTAATTTCACATTCTTTTTTCTTTCTTTTTTCAAATCCCTTTCTATATCTCCTAACCAAACCAAACACAACGTGAGGGCTCTAACCTTAGAGTCAACTCCATCAACAGATTGAAAACAAGGCTCAAACCTATTTGGGGGAAGAATAAATTCCACTCCACAAACCAACCGCATGTTTTTATATTATCAATTCCTAGAATCCACCACAGAGTGAAAAAACAAACCCATAGTAAACACAAACCAACGTGTACTATTTTCATGTATGCTTATATATTTTTTTAGTGCTTCAGTCATGAATTAAAAAAAAAAAACCAAAATATATGCAAGTATAAAAACTTATGGATATGATAAAACAAATAGTACACATTTGCAACAATTTTGAAGCATTAAAAAAATAACCATGGTCGGCACCATCATCGTTGCAAAAGATTTTAATAATAATACACAAATAATAGTTATAAATTAAAGAGGGAAAAAAAAAATTAAAGAAAGAGAGAGAGATAAGATTAAAATAGAAGAAAAGCCTCATCACACCCTACCTGTCAACTCAACCACAGCCTCTTGCACAAGCTCTTCCAGCAACGTCCCTTCTATTTCCTTCCCAATATCATCTGTTTCCAATCTCATATGCTCAGCCCAACCCTTCCCAACTACCTCCTTCCTCACCACCCTCTCCACCACCAGGTTGTTACTGTCCCCACCACCATCATCACCCCAAACACACCTCACCTCGCACTCACTCGAAAACCACTCTGTCATCCGGTCCCACACCTCATCCACCAATATGGCTGATCCACCAGCCTCTGATATCCTGTTGTGGACCCCCAACCCACACGTAGTAGCCCTTGGGCTTGTCCCCGACCCATACCCTGTGATTTCCACTAAAGCTGCATTCACACAATCAAATACCAGCTTCCGGCTTGATCTCCTTTGCCTTCGCTTCGCCTCATGGATTATCTCCTTGTCGTTCACTTCAATATATTTGTCTCTCAATGATGGGTCCAATGGGCTTTCGGGTGAGTGCCATCTGGCAAAAAATGAGTCGGACTGTACCTCACCATCGAGGCCAACTGCTGATAATAAGGTTTGGGCAAAGAAGAGCCATTCCCGTTCTACCTCCTCAGTTCCTTGGGAGACCGATGAAGGTTTCAGTGGGTAAGAAGTGGCTGTCTCTACACTGGACAACGACAGAGTCCGAGCCATTGATTCTATGGGTGGTGATTTGTCAATCAGGTTGGATTTAATAGAATGAGAAACCAGCTTTGCTCCTGTTTATTTTTATTGAAAAGGAACAAATTAGGGATGCATGGCAGCGGAAGTGCAACGAAATGTGAAATTTTCAGTACCAACACTTTGATATAATTTACCATGATTGTCTGGCTTGACATCACAAGACTTTGCTGTAATATTATCATCCTCGTCAAACAGTGGTTCCAATACTGAGATTGGACTTGGCTGGTCCAGGCTCTCACTAGAATTTCCAAGGACGACAGGCTTTGTAATGGACAATCCAGCCTGCAAATTTGGAAATAATTCCCATTAAGCTATAGGCATGAAAATTTCAATGTTCCATCACTAGTTACCGCATGTTAAAGAAAGAACTACCACCAGACTTAAAAGCAAACAGACCCAACCATTTGACCAATAAAAGTTTCTGCAGACAACCCTCAACATGTCCACACAAATTTATGTTGGGGAATTTATTTTGATCAAGAGTCTATGCACATCAACCATGTCATATTCTACCATCAAATTGTTAACATAATATTTTCATTTAATAAAACTTGAAAAAATGGAGAGGATGAATCCATAAGAAAGGAGTTGTCAAGCACAGAATTGGGTGGCAGTTCAAATATGTTGCATTGTCTCGTTCCAAATTTTGAAAACAAAAAGGGCAAAGAAAGAAAGAAAAAGGGACTTTAAGTAAACGTGTATCACAATTATTAATCCTTTTAAGTGCAAAAACAAAAGAACTTGTGTGTCCGTCAATGAATTATATACTGCATAAAAAACGCACTTGGTTACCAGAAGTCAAAAGAAGATTGGCTTACCTCAGGATAGATTATGCCCTGCTTTGGTCCCATGCCAACCAAATCTGGCAACAATGTTTTGCTCGATGATCCCTGTAAAGTAGGCAACGAACCCTCTTCAATCCCAGTATCATTATCACATTGTGATGTTCCATCACCAAGTTTTCCAGGGGTGTGTGAAGACATTCCAGAAAACTTTTGAGATTCATTTTTGGATTGAGAAGCACTAGATTTTTCTTTACTAGATTTTTTATTCCTTGAGAAAAATAAACTCGAAACTTTCCCTTTGAATGATGATTTCACACTCTGTACCTTAGCTGCCCCCTTGGGAACATCAATTTTACCAACTGGACCTGAAACTTCTACATTTGGACTGCCCCCAAACACAGTAGAAGAGACAGGAACAGATTTTGACCTCAAAAGACTCCTAGGAGAATTACCCACATTTTCATCCAAATTCAAACCACTAGCCGAGCATGAAGCTGATCCCCTTGGTTCTTGTTCTTTATTAATGCCCTCTTGCTCAGATTGTACATTTTTAATATCAGACAGGGCAAGCATCTCCCCCAGAGTACTAGAGCTTCTTCGTACATGTCTTTGTTCTTGACAAATTCCATTTGATGCCATCATGGCCCATCTTTCAGATAGCCGCTTCTTTGCTTCTCTACATACTGATGACTCTGGGGAACAAGATGCACGGCTGAAGGACGAAGAAGAATAAGGGCTACCAAACCTATTGATGTAATCCCATGAATGCCTAGAAGTTGGTGATATGACTTCAGAGTCACTGAGGTTCCCCGCTGCATATTCATTTTCAGATTTGTTAAAGGAACTTTCATCACCAATATAGCCATTAGAAAACACGGAAGAAAGCAAGGTTTCATCCCTTCGATGCCCAATCAGGTTTTCACGCATATGCCTTGTGATCTCCTTCGCCGCTTCTCTTGATTCTTGCGCTTCATTATCTTCTGGTTCCTCATAAAATTCTTCACCATGTAATACTCTTGGAGATGAAGAAGGTGGAGAAACCACAGCCTTTATGTCATGAGGCTTACCAGGGCTAGGTTTTAATACGACTATTCGAGTAGGCTGAGTAGGATTATCATCGATTCGCCAATTAGGGGGGGAAAGACCAGTATTGCTTTTATCCCATCCAATCACCTGACCCGTGTGGGATCCTTTCTTTATCTGATTCTCATTCTTCTTCCCTGATCCAGAAAATTTGTTATTATCCATCATCTTCAAAGGTTTAAGAACAGTGATGCGCTTAGTCTCAGGAGGTGGGGAAACATGCTGCAAATCATACAGATGCTGAGAGAACAGAGAATTTGGTTCTTGCAGAAACTTAACGAATAAATCTTTGTTAGAACTTAAAACTTCCAACACATCTTGGAATTGTTTGGATTGGCGAAGTTTTTCATCTGTGGCTAGGCGTTTTGCTTCGATGAACTTTTGACGAACTAAAGCCATCTTTTTCTCATTTGTATTCTCATTATACCTTCCTTTCTGTGGTGATTTATCTCTTACATAACTTCCTTTCTGTGATTGCTGCCATATTTCATAAACATCCTTATACTCATTATGCGCTGGACACTGATGGATCTCACGTTGCATTTGCATGTCCAATCCATGTTCTTGCTGCCAATAAGCCAAAGGAATACCTGAATGACTTCGTGCATAGTCTCTTGAATGACTTCTTTGCGCAGCAGAATCAGACTGTTGCCGTGGAAGGGTATCAAGCCCCATCAACTTGGCGACCACACTGGGAGGATTATGCTTGGACTCCACTTCTTTTGACATTTCCTGGTCTATGAGCATTTTCATGGGTGTTCCATTTGATCTTCTATTTGAAGCATTTCTCAGCTCAGACACTATCTGCATGCCATCCACAAACATAAAATAGATCAGAGTAATGTAATAATATTGTAGTACAGATCTCAGTACTGAATAGACATCCTGCATAGATTTTAGTCAGCTGTGGACCATCATTACAACGACTTAGTAATAAACTTAATTTGTACCACTTTGTCCTCTATTGGATCACCAATAGGACTCGTCCTAGCTGAATCTGATTGGCTCCTTGAGAGTGGCGAACCTGTAAATCAATTACTACCAGGTCAATAAGGGCTATAATGGTTTACAAATGCAGAAGTCCAGCAAAGAGAAGAAGTATCATCAGGTTTAAACAAAGGAAATACATTAAATACAAAAAGGGAATAAGTGTTTTCCCAGAAGGTAATCAACATCAACTTCAATGAATTTAAACTCAAAATGGGCAGCGCAGACAGATCGCCAATGCTGACCTGCATTGTTCACTAGGTCAACAACTAGATGAAGGGATTTACACGCAAAATGGGCAGGCCAGACAGATAAGCAAAAGAAAACAAAAAAACTAGGATTATTTTCAAGATTCAACACTTCAAGAATACAAAGAGGTTGGATAATGACACTCTTATTATGAGTGCCGACAATTGCCAAATATTTCAGGTTAGTTTTTGACTTACAAGTAAAGGGATGATTTCATATAGTTAAAAACAAAAGGGAGATGATGCATAATAGTGCCCTCTGAATTAGTCTAGGATTTTATCTCTTGAAAACCTCAAAACTTGAGAAACCAGATTGCCATCAACCAATCAACATTCAAGCATACGGAAAATAACCAAAACAAAATTGTTATTAGCACACAGTTAAATTTACTGTTCCCTCAGGTCCTCTCAATGTTAAGATGGTTGGTTTGTTAAATAAAAACAATAAATATTTTAGATCGGAAAAATAAAATAAGTTGAGCTCGAATATGATTAGCAAAGGAAATCACCATCATGATGTGGTTTGTCTGTGAGCAGCCTGTTTCCTGGGACACCTGTACTCAAATCAAAGAGGTTCACCATTCTTCCCAAGCATCCTGGAAAGGGTTTCTCAAGATTGCGAGCTCTTCCGTTCTGAATCCCATTCATTTCAACACCTGAGATGTCATGTTTCAAATGTTAATTAATCCCATTTTCTCTTTTCTATGACAAAAATCAATATCATCAACAGAATCAACTAGCAATTTAGAAATTTAGCCAATACCCACCCCACCTTTTCAGAGAGAGAAAGAAAGAGCAGAAAATTAAAAAAATAAAAATAAAATCAAACAGTTCAAATTACAGTATATGGGTGGAGGAAAAGACGTCATGGTTTCTATTGTATTAGTCCTTGCAACAAAACATAAAAGCACAAGAAAAAATGGAAAATAAAAGAACCAAGACAAAAAATGACAGATTGAAATTACAGAACTGCTAAACAGAAGTACACACAAGAATCCGGATCAATATACAAAAGAAAAGAAAAGGAGAAAGAAAAAAGAAAAAAAAGAGGATTACATTATGGAAATTAATGCGAGTCTGTTTGTGTAAACCTTGTTTAAATGCTCCACATTTTGCCCCAAGCAAGAGTCAGGAACAAGTATCAATTACATCACACCAATCTAACGAACTCAAATCCAGGGCTTGTATACAGAGATCAACCAAAGAGCATCTAGAATCAACTAAATTAGCGGGCAATTGAACAAGATATAGACTCAGAGAGAGAGAGAGAGAGAGCGTATGGTCAACAGGCAAAGCAATTGCACTTTCGTAAAACCGCCTAGATTTATGAGAAATGAGAAATAGAGACAAGACTACAGTGTACAGTGAGAATTCAGCATATTCACATGAACGTTCACATCAAGTGGCCACAACGCGCCTGAATAAACTCTAACTGCCTAAATAAAATCAAATAGCAAACTCAAACAACTCACTACATTCACGCAAATTGACCGATTCACAAAAAAAAAAAAAAAAAAAAACCCTAATCTCCCAACAAATTCAAGCCCCAAACCTAACGAAAAAGCTGAATTGATGTGAATCAAAACAAACAAAACTCGAGATTCAAAATTAATTAAGTAAAAGAAGCTAAATTTTAAGTAAACCAAAAAAAAAAAGAAAAAGAAAAAGAAAAAAAGACAGTTTTGATTAAAACAAAAAGAAAAATCGATACTCAAAAGGCTGAGAAAAAAGCGAATCAGATTCGATTACCTTCGAAAAGCTTGGATCACCAATAGGACTCGTCCTTGCTGAATCTGATTGGCAGCAAAAAAGCGAAAGTACTGCGAAGAAGACTAAAAGGGTCGTAGAAGCAAAAAAATGCAACACTACTACTGACATATAGCAAAGCAAGAATGAATTTAGAGAGAGAAAGAAGATGAGAGAGAGGAGATTGGGACCTTGTGAGGAGGAGCGAGAACGTAGAGAGTAGTATAGTCGTGGCTGCGATAATGTCGCCGGAATGTGGCATTCCGATGGGGAATGTGGCCGGAGATTCGCCGTACGAAGCGGCTCTTAAAAAGAGGAGAGAGAGAGAGCACTCATCATGTGGTCATCTTCTATCTACCGAATACCAACTGTGTCGGACGTGAACTGCTTTTGTTTATTCTGATTCATTTATCAGTTTCGATTACGGAGAGAGAGAGAGAGCGAGTGTGTGCGCGCAAAGAAGTGAGCCAAAAAAAAAAATAGTACGTGCATCTCCTCGGTGGATTAATTTTTTGTATTAAGGTTTGCTTTAGGAGGTGGGTTAGATTTTTGATTTTTTTTTATTTTTTTGATTATTTTAGTTTGGATTAAAAAATTTAGTTTGGGAATGATTTTTTAGTTTTTTTTTGTAATAGAAGAGTGTAATGATTATGAGTTGGATGTGATATTTTGTTTTTTGTGATTAAAATAGTCTATTTTGTCTTTTGTGACTAAAATAGTTAAAAAAGTCCCTAACCCAACTTGCCAAACGGAGGCTAAATTTGAGTAAAAATTATTTTTAATATCAAGTGTTTTAACAATGAATTTTATAATTTCATTAAATTACTGGTTGATTGGGTGGATAACCGATCAGTCGACTGATTAATGTAAATTTTTTTATAAATTTTTGTTTTGAGATGATCATTTGAGAGATATCTAGTGGTAAAAATCTAATGATAATGAACAGTGATTTGATAAAAGACACATTAATTCTTAATTTGATAAAAGAAAAGTAAAATCTTGGACTTGATGATGGATTTTGATGAACCGTTTAAAAACAAAAAGTAACTTTTTTTCATTGAATTTAAATTTAAATTTGATGAACCATTGAAGATGATGGGTGTGTTTGTTTTGAAAAATTAGGAAGTGTGATTGGGCTATTAATCCCACCGGACTAATAGTCCATTGTTTGTTTCATTTTTTTTGCTCTGGACTAATAGTCCCCCTGGACTATTAGTCCCATAAATATGGGACTATCCTATCTGATGGGGGAGATGGGATCACATCAAACCCATAATCATTTCACTTTTTCTCTCACAAACATCACATTCAACCATAAAAAAATCCATTCATCTTCCCACACACAAAAATTTTAGCCTACTTAAAATAGCCAAAAACTAAAATAGCCACTTCCCAAACGAGGCCTTGATGAACCATTGAAGATGATGGGTGTGTTTGTTTTGAAGAATTAGGAAGTGTGATTGGGTTATTAATCCCACCGGACTAATAGTCCATTGTTTGTTTCATTTTTTTTGCTCTGGACTAATAGTCCCCCCGTACTGTTACTCCCATAAATATGGGACTATCCTATCTGATGGGGGAGATGGGATAGAAATCATGAGATTGGTATCCCATGAGATTATTTTGTGAAATATCCATTTTACCCTCCATGTTATTACTCAGTAAACAATTAAAAAATGATAAAATAATCTTTTGAACATTTATAAATTATTTTTTTAGTGTTGTTAATTTAAAATTATATATTAAATAATTTTTTTTAATTATAAACTATAAATTAAATTTAATTAAAAATAATAAATTATAAATTATGGCCTTATAAATTAAATTTTTTTAGTGTTGTTAAAAAATTAAATTTACATATTAAAAGATAGAGAAATTATGTAATTAAAAAAAATCGAAAAGCCAAAATGCACAAAAAAAAAAAAAAAAAAAAGACTTTTAACTCAATTACCAAAATATAGTGTTAATATCACAAACAAATTTTTTTGAGAAATAATCAATGATCTCTTTTGTTATAATTAAAATTATAATCAAATATAAAAAATTTATAATTAACATTTAAAAATAATGTCATAATTAGATTTTTTTTTAATTATAACTAAAAAATAATGTAATTAAAAGTATATATAATATGAAGTGTGTATAATAAAATTCCTCCAATAATAGTAATAATGTAGGAAGACAAACGCAAAATTGTAGTCTTATACAATTAAACAAAATAATAAAAGAAAAATAATCAACAATGATTTAGACCACTAAAAAATACATCACTAATAGCACTAATATATTGGGAATGACAAAAAAAATAATAAAAAAATAAAAACAAGGCATAGAAAGTGGGCGGGGCCCACTGCCACATCATTAGTGCTCCCTTTAGTGATCTCTTTTTAGTGCTCTCAAGCATTTTTCAAAAACAATATACAAGATTATTTTGTACATCCACTCTCTAGACGCGCTGTATATATAGATGAGTAGCGGATAATTAAAAAATATATGAGAGTAATCTTATTTTAAATATTTGAATACACTATCATATTATTAGGTTTGAAAATAAAATCTAATTTTTTGACTAGGAGCTTTTTTGATAAATTCACTTTTTAAAATTTTTATTCCATCCAACTCATATTCTTTTTGACTATTCCATTAGGTCCTATTTGAGATAAGAAGTTCCATTTAGTTCATATTATTTCCTTATGTTTTCAATAAGTCCTATGGATGACATAATTACCAAAATATCCCTAATATGAATGTTCAAACCGTCAATGTGTAGGGGCCCGGCCCATGTTGATCCTCGTGGGTGCCCGGAAAAATTCGAGTCGGGGCGGGGCGGGCACGGCCCATTGACAATGTGAATATTCACATTGACATGTTAACATTCACATTAATAGGAATATAAAATTGGCCCATGTCCCGTGGCGGCGCGAAAACCGGCCCGTGGCCCATGGGAGGCCCGGGGCGGGCCCGGTCCAGTCCGTTGACAATGTGAATATTCACATTGACATATTAATATTCACATTGATAAGAGTATAAAATTGGCCCGCGGCCCATGGGCGGCCAAAAGCCCGCCCATGGCCCGGGGCAGGCCCGGCCCGGCCCGTTGACAATGTGAATATTCACATTGATATGTTAACATTCACATTGATAGAAATGTAAAATTAGCCCGTGCCTCGTGGCTACCCGAAACCCGCCCACGGCCCGTTGGCGGCTCGGGGCGGGCCTGGCCATTTTTTTTTTAATTCTTTTTAATTTTTTCTACCAAAATTTTATTATTTTTCCCAAAAAAAGACAGTAGGCCTCGGTGCGGGCCCGGCCTCGGACCGAGCCTTGAATGGGCCTTAACCGGGCCGATGGGTGGGGCTTCAAAGTGATGGCCCAGGCCCTAGCCTAGGGTCTCGGACTAGGCTTGAGCCTGGGTCCAAACGAGTATTTCCCGGGCCGGGTTGGCCCGGCCCACGGGTAAAAAAATTAGGCAGAGGCCTTAGCCCCAGCACAAGGGTATTCGGGTTTTGGACGGGCCGATGGATCAAGCCTCGGGTCGGACCGGTGGGCCTGGGCCTAGCCTCGAGCTTAGATCGGGCTTGGGCGGGCCTGGCCATTTTTTTAAAATTCTTTTTAATTTTTTGTACCAAAATTTTATTATTTTTCACAAAAAAATAAATTGCGCCGCGAGCGGGCTGGGCCTTGGACCGAGCCTTGAATGGGCCTTAAGCGGGCCGATGGGCCGGGCGGGGCTTCAAAGTGATGACCTAGGCCCTAACCTAGGGTCTTGGACATGCTCGGGCCCAGACCGAAACGAGCCTGCCCCGGGCCGTGGGCGGGCTTCGGGTAGCCCACGGACCGCAGGCATCAATGTGCATTTTAACATGTCAATGTGAATATTCACATTGTCAATGGGCTGGACCGGGCCTACCCTAGGCCGCGGGCAAGGTTCGGGCAGCGGGCAGATTTTATACTCCTATCAATGTTAATGTTAACATGTCAATGTGAATATTCACATTGTCGCGAGTTGGGCCAAGCCCGCCTCAGGGGGCTTTGGGCCACACATGGGCTGCAGGCCAATTTTACACTCTTATCAATGTGAATGTTAACATGTCAATGTGAATATTCACATTGTCAACGGGCCGGGTCGGGCCCACCTTGGACCGCTAACCAATTTTATACTCTTATCAATGTGAATGTTAACATGTCAATGTGAATATTTATATTGTTAACAAGCCGGGCCGGGCCTGTCTCGGGCCGCCCATGGGCCGTAGGCAGGTTTCGGGCAGCCACGAAGCGCAGGCTAATATTACACTCCTATCAATGTGAATGTTAACATGTCAATGTGAATATTCACATTGCCAACGGGCCGGGCCGAGCTCGTCCCGGATGGCGGGCGGGCTTTTGGCCGCCCATGGGCCGCGGACCAATTTTATACTCTTATCAATGTGAATGTTAACATGTCAATGTAAATATTCACATTGTCAACAGGGCGGGCCGCCCATGGGCTGTGGGCGGGTTTCGGGCAGCCACGAGGCGCGGGCTAATTTTACACTCCTATCAATGTGAATGTTAACATGTCAATGTGAATATTCACATTGTCAACGGGTCGGGTTGCGCCCGTCTTGGGCCGCTGGCCAATTTTATACTCTTGTCAATGTGAATGTTAATATGTCAATGTGAATATTCATATTGTCAACGGGCGGGTCGGGCCCGCCCTGGGTTGCTGACCAATTTTATACTCCTATCAATGTGAATGTTAACATGTCAATGTGAATATTTACATTGTCAACGGGCCGGATCGGGCCTGCACTGGGCCGCTGGCCAATTTTATACTCTTATCAATGTGAATGTTAACATGTCAATGTGAATATTCACATTGTCAACAGGTCGGGCTGGGCTCGCCCCGGGCCGCCTATTGGCCGTGGGCGGGTTTCGGCAGCCACGAGGCACGGGCTAATTTTACACTCCTATCAATGTGAATGTTAACATGTCAATGTGAATATTCACATTATCAACAGGCCGGGCCACCCAGGACGGCAGCCAGGCTTTTGGCCAGCCATGGGCCTCGGGCTAATTTTATACTCTTATCAATGTGAATATTAACATGTCAATGTGAATATTCACATTGTCAACGGGCCGGACCGGGCCCGCTCCGGGCTGCCCATGGGCCGCGGGCGGGTTTCGCGCTGCCACAGGACGCGGGCCAATTTTACACTCCTATTAATGTGAATGTTAACATGTCAATGTGATTATTCATATTGTCAATGGGTCGGGCCCGCCTCGTCTCGTGTGCGGGTTTCGGGCTGCCCACGGGCCAATTTTACATTCCTACTAATGTGAATTTAAAAATATGAATGTTCACATCATAAAATTGCTAACCGTTAAAAAAATATTTATAAGGGTATCAAAATTAAATATAAGGGTATAATTGTCCAAGAAAATAGTGTAAATCAAGAAA